TTTCATGAATGCGAGGGTCTTGTATTTCGCCGGTACGGAAAGTTTGACAGTTTGTGTGTACCCAACCATGCGCCTCTCCGAACTCACTTCTTGGATCTGGCGCACGGTCGGAGTGGACATTTTTGCTTTGAGAAGACTTACGGAAGTCTTCTGCAACAATTTGACTGCCCAGGAATGAAAGGATCTGCTCAGAAATTTATTGTTGAATGTCAAGTATGCCAAAGGATCAAGGTTCACAGGCAAAAGCCTTATGGCCTACTGAGACCTCTTCCCATTCCCGATGGACCCGACGAGTCGATTTCCATCGACTTCACGGACATGGGAAAGTTGAGTGAGGCTGGGAATTCACAAGTCATGGTCATTGTGGACCGCTTCTCCAAATTTCTGAACTTGATTCCTCTCCCTCCTCACGCCCCGACTGAACTTGTCATAGAAGAATTCCATCAGCAGTACATTCTGCAGTCCGGCGTCCCGAAAACTATTGTGAGTGATCGGGACACCAGATTCATCAGCAAAGATTGGAAAGACTTCACATCTTAGATCTACGACATCAAACTGAACAGGACTTCTGGTCGTCACCCCGAAGCCAACGGATTGGTTGAGGAGATCAACCAGACTGTCATCCAATTGCTTCGCACACTAATTGTTCCAGATCAGAACACGTGGGACAAGGAAGTGCACAAAGTGAAGGGGCTGTACAACAACTCCATTCACTCTGCGACTCGTGTGACACCAAACCAATTGCAGTATGGATAGCAGTGCGTAATCCCCTCTCCTATCTGTTCCCTAAACGGTCACCTGGTCGGATGCCCGGCATGCATGGCTACAATGCCAAGTACGCACGCTTGCTAAAAGCTGCTACAACAGCTATGAACAAGCGCCAGCATGCCATGATCAAACATGCCAATAAGCGGCGCAAAGAAGAAAATTTCAAAGTAGGGGATTATGTTTGGGTCAAAATGTCTGAGTTTTTTCTGATGAAGAGGGCATATCACGGAAGCTTCTTCCACTGTACTACTGCCCTTGGCAGATTCTGAAGGTAGTCGGGGATGATTTCGGTCCTTCGTTTGTGATTGACGTGCCTCCTCATCTGCACACGTATCCAGTCTTCCATGCCTCCAAACTGTTCCCACACATTGATGATGAAACTTTTCCCTTTCGTGATCCTATGATACCTCGCCCTATTGACGGCGGCCATGAGATTGACAGAATCGTTTCTCACGAGGGGAGAGGAAGGAATAGACAGTACAAAGTCCATTTCCTCTACCACGCGTTGAACGAATTCTTTTGGATCGACCGGAAAGAACTGATAAAGAGTGCTCCACGTGTTGTGAACGCATATGAACGACAGATTGTTGACGGATAGACCACTAAGTTTGCTGCAAAACTCACTCCGTTCGGACTCACTAACACTCTCTTTTTGATCTATGCCTATGACGCCTTCCGTGCCGACTCTGACTGAGTTACGCGCTCGAAGGGACCTCGCTCTCGAGAGGGGAGTAATGTAATGACCCGCCCAAAACACAGACTGAGAACACTGCTGATTTCTGGGATTTGCCAATGGAATGAATGCCTTGCTATGATTCCCGCATTCTGCTGTGGTCCCAAGTCTGTATGTGTGCGTGCCTGCTGGTTTGCATGCCTGTCTGAGTGCTTTCCGGATGTGTGTGTGTGCGTGCCTGCTGGGTTGCATGCCTGTCTGAGTGCTTGCTGGTTGGGTATGTGTGTAACCCGCCAGGGTACTTGTTGGTT